TGTCCCGGGCTCCTGGCCCTGGCAGGTGTCCCTGCAGGTGAGGGGGGTTTCTGTGAGAGAGTGGGGGACACACTGGGGTGTTAGCCCAGCTGGGGCTAGGCTGGGAGCTTCTGGTGTCCAGCTAAGCCTGACCCTCCCCATGTCCCTCCAGGATAAAACCGGCTTCCACTTCTGCGGGGGCTCCCTCATCAGCGAGGACTGGGTGGTCACTGCTGCCCACTGTGGTGTCAGGTGAGGCCTGTGCGGGCTCAGGGCTCTGCTTCTGGCCACATGTGGGGGTGAGGAGGGAGCAGGGCCCACTCCCAGTCCTTAACCCCCATTGATTCCTCTAGGACATCCCACGTGGTCGTGGCTGGGGAGTTTGACCAGCACGCAAATGAGGAGAACATCCAGGTCCTGAAGATCGCCAAGGTAGGCCCGAGCCCTGCCCAGCTGGCCCAGGAGGCCCAGCTGCGGGGCTGGGGACAGCGGCAAGGATAAGACCCTTGGGCTGCTTGAGAACACAGGAGCCCGAGTGGCTGGGCTCGCCTCCAAGTTCTCATTCCGGGCTCCTGTGGATTTGTTTTTCCCATGGGGGCCACCAGGAAAAGGGCTTGGACCCTGCAGATTGCTGACTAATCCCAGGGCCTAACTTTGTCGTTTTGGCTCCGCCCCACAGGTTTTCAAGAACCCCAAGTTCAACATGCTGACCGTCCGTAACGACATCACCCTGCTGAAGCTGGCCACGCCTGCCCGCTTCTCCGAGACCGTGTCCCCTGTGTGCCTGCCCGCGGCTACGGATGAGTTCCCCCCTGGTTTGCTGTGCGCTACCACGGGCTGGGGGAAGACCAAGCACAATGGTGAGCACCACTTGGCCTTTCACCCAGGAAACGTGTCTGGGGCTGGGGCTGAGCAGCGGGGGTCTCCAGGTGGGACCCATATGGCTTTTCCTTTTTTTTCTCGTCTAAATTGCTACACACTCTGAAACCTTTCCATTTATTTATTTATTTAAAACCCTCTTTTAAAAAAAAGTTTATTTTGAGAGAGACAGTGCAAGTTGGGGAGGGGCGGAGAGAGAGGGAGACACAGAATCCGAAGCAGGCTCCAGGCTCTGAGCAGTCAGCACAGAGACCAACGTAGGGCTCGAACCCATGAAACTGGGAGATTTCATGACCTGAGCCAAAACCAAGAGTCGGACGCTTAACCCACTGAGCCACCCAGGCGCCCCTAAAACCCTCTTAATGAAAACCTTCGGAACATGAATAAAGATGAGCTTAAATACTGCACACTTGAAGACGAAGTTGCTG